CTTGAAAAAGTTGCAAAATGCTGCTTTAACCACCGGCTTTGAAAGCATATAGCTCAGTATTTGGAATCATAAAAGCCCGGGCACCATGTGGTCTGGCTTCTCTGGTAAAACTAGGAGCCCTGGTTTAGGAGAACCTGCTCATTTGTTTAATGTGTATATGCCTTGATGATAAAACCCTTTCAAATAAAGAAGTGAATTATTCAGGATTTCTGTTTCTATCAAACAGGGAAGTATAGGAAAGTAACATTTTACATTTGTGAGTAATTTTCCATGTTCTATTATCTGAATGATTTTACAGGAAGGTGAGTATGTTTTTATATGGTAATTGGTGGAGGAATCATCTTTATGGAAAACAGTGATCTTTATCTGAATTCCATGACTTAAAAATAGCTCCGCCCCCATTCACTTCCTCTCAACAGTATGAAAATAAAAAAAGATGTATTCCAGTTTTAGTAATAAGAAAATATAGGTAACTTCAAATTTGAGTGTCGGGAGAGTTCCAAAAAAAAGAGTGAATGAAAAGTTTCAGTATCCTTGGGGCACAATAAATCTATTTATTGCTCTATTTATTGCTGCATCAACTGGAAGCCTGAAGCCAAACTGTCATTCTGTCGGGCTAACTTCTCAGGAGGTAAAGCTGAACTTCTCATATTTCAGAATGAATGCAAACCATTGAGTAGTAACAAATGTAAGAACAATTTACATTTTCAGTACCTCTGAGCTGAATTTGAAGAAAAGATGCCTAATGTAAACAGAATATAAATGTCTTTTTCTGATTGGATAGTGCAAGAAAATATATGAGGTGGCTTTTTGGTTTATTTTTGGTTTATTTTGTTGTTGTTGTTGTTGTTGATTATTTGTTTTTTAAACCAGGTCTGGCAGTCCATTTGAAGAGAGGGTTACATTTCTGACCCCCTGGCTTTGTCAGCATATTGTTGCAATCACACTCTTGGTTGGTCACCTTCTTCTCTTAGTGAGCCCTAGGAGCTATGCCGAAGGCCTGTGACTCTCCACACATCCAGATGTGGAATTCATTCTCTAATGGGATCCGTGGGCAAATAGTGCCTGCAGGAAAAACAAAAAACTTTATAGTGTCCGGTGAATTTCGGGAAATTAAAAGCAGGACACTTTCCAGGAAAATGCTGGGCTTTAGAAAGTGTTAAATCTCTTCTGGTCCACTGACTACTCACTTTTAGTTGCTCAGCTCACTTATTAACTTACCTTCTTCATCTCATAAACATTATTGGTGTGAAGACCAAACCTGTCATGTCGTGTTTCCCCGTGCTTGTCCTCTGAATCCAGAGCCAAATGAAGATCAGGGTATTGTGGAATGTTTGCTGTACAGAGCCCAGCAAATTAGGAGAGGGCTAAAATAATTGCTAAATTGGGTGAGTTTGTATTTAATTCCTAGAAAAGCTGAATCTAACAAAGAGGGGTCTTTGATAGCTCAGGGTGGGAAGACCCTGCAGGTGCAGTATTATTTGTCTGTATTGTCAGGGTCCCTGGAGCTCCTGCTTCCTTTGTGTGGCATGTGCTTGTGTGTCCGACGTGCAGAGAAGTGATACTGCTCATTGCAACCACAAGGACATCACTGGACTTGCTTTTCTAGTAACTGCAAAAAGTTTGTGCTGAGCCCATTCTCATCTAGTTCCCTTTGTGACAAAAATGAGAAAACTATAGCTATCAAAGTATAGCCTAGGGGGCTCCTGGGTGGCTCAGTCAGTTAAGCATCCAACTCTTGATTTCAGGTCGGGTCATGAACTCCCCACATTGGGCTGGATGGAGCCCTACTTCGGGCTCCACCCTCAGCGCAAGAGTATGCTTGGGATTCTCTCTCTCCCTCTCTGTCTGCCCCTCTCCCTGCTCTCCCTGTTCACTCTCTCTCTCAAATAAATAAATAAAATCTTAAAAAAAAAAAAAAGTGTAGCCTCGGATTTAGAACAGGACTTTTCTCTGGTCAAAATTCATCAAAACTAACTGACAGATTTAGAAATCTAACTGATTACCTTTTCCTTTGCATTCTGCCGAGAGAGCACCAAGAAAACTCTTTGAATGAAAGTATGAGTGAAAACATATTTTGTTCTCATAGTCTGGTCTAGGTTAGGAATAGAGTCTGGAGCCTGGTGCCTCTCCTTACCAGCTCTGTGCTTTGGGCACATGACTTAGCATCCCTGTGTCTGTTTCTACACCTGTACAGAGGGGAGGGGATACTGGAGTAGATGCCTCCTAGGATTGTTTTGAGGATTGAACTAGGTAATATATGTATAGTACTTGGACTACTGCTGGGCATATGGTAAACAGTAGTAATTTCATCTGTCATTATTATTATTTGCCTCTTTTTTATATTTTACATAAAAAGGTTGATTTAAGAGGTTTTCAATTACTATTTTGAAATACTTTTATACAATTTCTATATTTTTCTTCAGGTAATGGTTGACTCTTCCTAGAATGCATGATGGAATGTCCTTGTAGATTAGTATAAATTTAATTGTAGTTAATATTGGGGGTCTCATGATTGGACTCTTCAGTTACAAGAATTACTTATAGAAGATAACTTTCTAAGTGCCCCAGTATATATGTATTCAGTTGTTTATGCATTCAGCAAGTTTGATTGAGCACATAGAGTGAGTCAGACTCTGTTCTGGACCCTGGGAATTTAGAACCTGTCAGATAAAGTCCTCACTCTCACATGATTATGTTCTAGTGAGGGAGACAAACCATTAGCAAGTAAACAAATAAATCAACATGATAATTTCAGATTGTGCTAAATACCATCAAGAAAATGTAACAGGATGCTCTGGAAGGGATGGGAGGGGGTCTCTTAGGGAAATACAACCTATCCTGTGATTTAAATGACGAGAGGAAGCTATCAGGCACTGTCAGTGGAGAGAAAAACATTCCACCACCAAAAGGGGGCCAGCCCATTTAGAGGGAAGAGCTAGTGCAAAGGGCCTGAGTTGAATAAGGATTTTGCATGATCAGAGGGCAAAAACAACACCCAGGTGACTGAAACAAGAACATGTCTCCATTTAACAAATGTAGAGCAAAGGTTATGGCCAGGGCTAGCATTAGGAATTGAATTCAAAGTGGATACATCCCTACTTTGATCACAACAAGTTTGCTATTTTGGTAAGGTTGGTATATCTTATTTTTCTTTTGAGTTTTGGAAAGTCAAACATGCAAAAGTAATATAACAAGCCCCATGTATCCGTCATACAGCTTCTCCAATTATCAAATTATAGCCAAGCTTGCTTCAACTATTCTTATGCCTTTAATTTTTCATTTTTTAATGCTTTGATTCCACCCAGCAACATTTTTTAAGTTGTCCAATGTGCCAGATATTATATTCTATGAGTAAATAAAAGTAATTAAAAGCAAGTCTTTGCTCAGTGCCTCAGGATCTGAGTAGACACACCGACACAAAGGTCATATACTGACTGTGATAAATAACTGTTATAAACCCAGTGTTATGGCAACCCAGAAGGGAACGCGATTAATGCTTTCCTGAGAAATGGGGAAAGGGGAGTTTGGAGAACTCACAGAGTAAGATTGCAGGACGTGGAGACGGGAAGCAAGATAGGGTAAAGGACAGAGCGCAAAAGTGGAGAGCATTTGGGGACAAATGATTGGAAGTTGGGGTATTTTGGGAGTAGTGATGGAGATATAGCTAGAAATATGGTTTGGGCCACATTCTGAAAGGCCTCAGTCACTACTCTAAGAAATTTAAATTTTATTTCACAGGGAAAGGAGAATAATGCAATGATATTAATAAAGAACTGGAATGATTAGATTAGTGCCTAGGATGATATTGCTAGTGACAGTGTGGGGCACAGATTTGATCTACAAATCTCTGAGCCTGCGACAGGGAAATGAATTAGGAGACTGGTTTATTAGGCCAAATGAACATTAGATTACACAAGACAAATGAAATACTAAATAGAGTGGAAATAAATAAATAAATAAATAGTGTGGAATCACAGAAATAGGCTGAAGAAGTAGACCAGATAAGGCTTTTTGGAGATGACTTTTGGCCTTGATCTTGAATATGAAAACATAGATGGGAAATGAAGGGAGGGGATTGCAATATTATGAAACATAGCATGTGCAAAAAGCACAGGGCTCCGAAAACACAAGGAATGTTCAGTAACTTGCATGGAGGGATGTGAACATGCTGTTCAAATAGCACTAGCAAAAGATGGGAAAGCTTTAATGGATTCAGAGACAGAAACAAGGCAAGACTTAGTGTCTCGTGGGATATGGAGGGTGAAGGAGAGAAATGAGTTGCAAATCTGAGGGTCCTAGACTAAAAATCTTTTAAGGGGTAGATTGTTTAACAAGAAAGAAAGTGCAAGGGCACCTGGGTGGCTCGCCTATTAAGTGGTTGCGTTGGGCTCAGGTCATGATCCCAGGGTCCTGGGATAGAGCCCTGCATCAGGCTCCCTGCTCAGCAGGGGAGTCTGCTTCTCCCTCTCTCTCTCAAATAAGTAAATAAAATCTTTTTTAAAAAGTGCTATGGACATGCTTAGTGGAGCATTTGGATGGAAATGCCGGTGAGGATTTGGAAATTTCAGGCGAAGAAGGTAGATTTGGAGTCTTAAGTGGGAGGCAATGGGAGGCTGAAGCCAAACCAGTAGGGACTATTTGTTGATGGTTTCCTTTTATAACTACAAACCAGGTGTAACCAAGTCCTTTATGAAACATCCCACTCTGCTCAGTACAGGTCAGAACATGACCCTCAAGATTAGTGATGTTTTGTGTATTGATTGCTCTGTATCCTGGACAATATAACCATAATATTTTGTATAGGGGCTGTCTCTGCTTTCCAACGTCACATTTGTTAACAGTATTCTGTTACGACAGTGATTTATAACAGTAATGCAGTTGGGGGATGTCTAGAGTTGCCTTTAATTTATAAACATTACTGGCACCTTATTTGTTTTACTGATTGTCAGCTGTGTTTCTCTACCACAGACTCACAGAGTTTCTGTTTCTTGTGTCAGGTTTCACCGTCCATAACGAAGTGTGAGACTCTTTGGAAACACAGACTGATCATCTTTGGGGGAAGCCTCTCTTCCCGAAAACCTGATATTGCACTGGGATTTGAGTGTGTGTGTTTCCGTTTAACTGGTGAAGGAAGTGTATGGAAAGTGCTTCCCACCTGCACGGCCCAGATGGGGCCAACAAGCAAAGGGAGGGGTGCAGTGACTCTGCTGTCCAGCATGTGTATTGATGGTAAGCAACACCATGGTCACACCAGTTATTCTCCATCAGGAGTTTTAATCAAAGAAGATGAGCAGAAGACAATCGCTGGCTCCCTGTTACCAGAAAGCCAAATTGTAGAGTGCAGGTTGAAGAGAAATCCGGGCCTGGAGTTGCTGGGCACTGAAAGGGGTGGGGGTGGAAAATCAGAAAAAAAAAAAAAAATATTTCATTATGTTAATGAAGAAAAGAGAAAATCAAAGCATAAATATTTTTGAAGAAGGCTTTTGGTAGCTGAGAACTTACTAAGATATGGGAATCTAATCACCTAACATGGATTCCTTAAAGACCTGATCCTAGAAGAATATTCTCGTTTCACGGTTATGTTGGTGCAGTATAGTACCATTATTTTATGTTGTGCCAGTGAATCCAATTGCCAGAAATACGTCTGAGTGTTTTCATGCATCTTTTTCTTAAATGCAAGAGACTTTTATTGACTCTTAACAAGCATGCCTGCCCAAATTTTGTTGCATGTTTTAAGTAGCATAGCTATACACACTTTTTTTTATACTCCTTATCTAATGTACCAAACTTCTGCAAGGATAACAGGACTGGGAATAAAGTCAGATGAATGTGATCCTATAAATCTGTAGGAAGCTTTAGAAAATAAATCTTTTGGTCTTTCCCTAGCTTGATTATCTTCAGAGTTGAAGCAACCATACTTGATCTAAGGAAGATAATATTGACAATCACAATACCTTTCTAAAAAATCTGAGTCCAAAGTAAAAACTTAAGCAAATGCAAGTGTTCTTCCAGCAGTTAGTTCTGAGTGGGCATGGAAAGGACTACTTATTTTCAGGGCTGCATTAAGTTGGATTGCTGCTATTAAAAAAATTAAGTACATGGATCAAAAACATACCCGAAGGCTTAAAAGAACACAGAAAGTTTCTGCTAAGTTGCAAGTGAGGAGAACCTCATTTTGTATTTTAAGAGTCTTCAGATTGCATCCATAAATATAGCATTGACTTGCAATGCAAAAGAATCAGTGAGGTTAAAGTCATGGAAGGTTTCTCTGTGAGCCTACAGTCAGTATTGTTTACATTAAGAAACCCTCAATTGCCATCTTGCGATTTTCCGTGGAGTCGCAAGCAGAGCGTGGCTTCTGCTCACAAATACATACGATCAGATGTAAATACTACCTTGCATTCGATTGTTCTTTCATGATTGTTTTGTGCTCCTTTTATTAAAAACACGTGAGACCTAAAATAACAAGACCTAGTACACTTTATTTTATTCACAGAGCTTGGGCTAGAATTTTCTGAAATGCTTCTGGTTCATGATAAGGAAGACTGTAATTTGCGATTTCAACCAAAAAAGCAAACATTTAATCTGGTGGATAAGTTTGGATCCTGTCAGTCATGTATATTCTGTAGAACCACTAGAAATGGGGTGATTTTGCTTAAAATTAATAAGTTTTAGCCCCAATTGGCCTGTTAGAAAAAGCCAGGACCATTTTATGTCTAAGAAAAGTAAGCAACATTGTTGCACCTTTTGCTGCACTGGGCTACCTGCGTAATAAACCCAGATTCTGCACTGTTGTCATTTCATTACTAGTGTAAGATGTACTTCTGCTTTTGAAAAAAATGTTCTGCATGTCCAAGTGTCTTTCTCTGTCTGAAAGGTTTTGTCCATTTCATAGTGTTCAAATCCAACCATGGACATTAACTTTGTTCTCATTTTTTTGCCGAAGCCTGCCTTTTCCTTAAAATACTATTATGTTATCGTTGTTGTGTCTTGGGAAAAAGTCCAAGGAATGTAATGTTATTTTAACTTTCTATACTTAAAATCTTAAAATGTCATAATTTTTAATCACGAGGCCTCTATAAAATGGTATATGTAAGACATTATCACTGTTTTAGCATTCAGGATACAGGTCATAGGAAGTCTCTACTTGGTTGATAAAAGGAGCAGTTTTTTTCCCCACTCATGGTGCATGTGATGCAGGTTTTTTTATTCCCTACAATGAGATGCACCCAGTACAGAGATCAGACTCCCGTCCTTCAATATACTGTTTTGCTTGTGTGATATATCAGATTTATGAACTACCCACACTTTTTTCTTCATACCGATTGACACATTTAGAGAAAAGTTTAAAAGTTAGAGCAAAAGCAAAAAGTCAAAAATGTTACCACTGCTAGTCTACTACTTAGGAACTGAAACCACATATCATTAGAATGATTCTTTAAATAAAAAGCTGTGAAAAGAATCGAAGGATTGTGAGCTAACCTGTATTTTTCAGAATAAGGCTCTGTGTTCCTAGCTAATTTTTTAAAGGTGGAAACACTGCATATTCACCCAGCAGCCCATCCAGGTCTCTTGCCTGGCATCCATAACGATGTGGACCACCCTCCATCTAATTAGGCCTCTGCCCAATGCCAGCATTTCTGCTATCCAACCAATAAGCTACAGTTCTATGAGAAAAATAAATGTGTGTGTGAATTGGGCTGTTGTAACACAACACCAGGCTTTTCCCTATTTAAAGTGAGACATTAGGCAGACATAGAGGAAGTGAATGAGTTTTCCTGAGTCCCCAAGATATGATTAGGGTAGGAAACAAACCCATATCCAGGAAGATCTCAGGCAGGAAGGAACCAGACAGACTGTAAAACACAAAGTGGCCATTTCTGTCTTTTTTTGAAATGGAGCAAAAGAACATTAAGGTAGTAAGGAGACGCCATGGGCTTTATCAGCATCTTTGTGGTCTGACGAAATTAGTCCTCTAATGAGCATTAATTAAGGCAACCCTGCCTGATAATTCCCTGTGTATGTGAAATGTCTTGCATTTTTTATGTTTGATATAATTTACCTTTATGTTAATTCCTTAAATTATTTAAACTAAATCTATAATATTCAGAGAGCCATTTGGGGTATTGGAATAGCTGTTTTAAGTGGAGGAAAAAGCAAACTCATCTATCTCTCGGATTTACCCAGAAAAACAGACTTTCTTCTTTCATTTTCATGTCCTTTATTGGCATAATGATTGTAGTCACTTATCTTTTTCTAATGCTAGTAAATATGTTCTGCTAGAAAGTTTTGAAATGTAAGTGAAAACCTATTTAAGATAGTAAAGGAATTGACTACACCCTTCAAAAATCATCAGATATTGAAAATGAGAGATAATTTCCTAAAACCCATAATTTGGGTTTCACATCCCTACAATAATTCTGTGCTACATTGGTACTTTGAAAAAATCCAGTAGCTTACACTTAAAAGAGAAAAAATTCTGCATTAACACTGCATATCCTGATATGGACCACATTTTAAGATATAACAGGCATTGTATTTATATTCAATAGTCGTCAGACAGACACAGCTTTCAAAAATGATACTGTATTCACAAGAGAAAAAGACAGTCTCGTCTACCACATAGTAGCATGTACACATTTAAAGAGTAAAATCTCTTTTCCTCCTTTTTGCTCAAAAATTTCTTTAGTTTATTATTTTTTTAAGTGGTCCCAGCAGCACATTAAACAGTGAGAGAAGTCTTCCTCAAAATAGGTGAGATGGAAGATATGCACATTTATGTCATTTCATCAGTACAGAAGCTGAAGCATTCCTAAATTCCAGTCATATTATTAGCCCTAACCTTACTAGTGAAGGTATATAATTTGAGACAAGAACTAATTTCTTCACATCATTAGAGTATGATGTGAGCAGTAAGGTATCACTAAGATGTAATTTATTTACGGAGTTGTCCCTTGGCTTCTTGAAATAGGTTATGTTCCACTACTGAGCATTTGCTGTCTTCTTATTGACAAGATATGTCACATTATTTTGCTTGGCAAAGCAGAATGAACTTTCTGGAACTGAAATATGTCCAAGAGGGGAATGCAATGGCAAAAGTCACCATCACATTAATAGAACCATCTTTCTGAGAGAAAGCTCATCTTTAGGTAGTTCAAATCCAAGTTTCAAAGAGCAGCATGAGGAACTACTCTAATTTGGCAGTGACCAAAGGGTGGTGGGGACAAGGGTAGAATATTCCCAAACCAGTTCTCATTTTCACTTTCCCTTTATTTTTGGTATTAATTAAGCTTAAGTTCTATATGAAAATGGGAACCACCATTAGCATATCTGGAAAACATTGGAAGCAGAGTTCACAAGGTCATTCCAAATTAAGAAATCCCACTACATATTCTGTAAGATTTCTGGCAAAATTAAAATTAAATAAAATATAAAATGAAATGAAATGAAATAAAATAAAAAAGAATCCTGTGGCTGTTATTCTCACCAAAAGCCAACCTTATAGGCAGGGGTCATTTTTAGCCATGCTAGGATTTACTGCACCTATGAGCACCGTGCTGTTGATCAGTGTTTCGGGGGCCGGGCGGGGGGGGGGGGGAGCGGTGCTGTTGGCATTTGGAGCTGGGCAATTCTTTGTTTACAGAAATGTTCCCTACATTGCAAGCTGTTTTATATCCTAAGCCCATGCTGACTAAATTCCAGTAGCATGCCCAGTCACTGTAAAAACACCAAAAGTCAGAAGCGCTCCCCCATGTTCAAAGGCCCTCCTAAGGAGGTACCACCTCCCTTGCGTACCACTGTCTACCGCAATTTGAGGACACACAGGGAAGAGTACCTCTTTCAAAACATCATCTGGACTGCCTTGCATTACTTTGGGCCCTGAATAGTTCCTTCCCCCTTTATTTTTCAAGCCTTCTGCTTCAGTGAAGCTTTAATTTGCCAGTTCTTCAGGCAGGAGGGTGCTGGGCAGCCTTGGCCGTTTCAATTGGCATAGTCACTTGGCTGGTCCATGTATGTACTTACAGGAGAAATTTCAAATGAAGCAAACTTTTTTTCCTCTGTTTTGGCCTCACAGTTTTACCTAAGAACTACACTGTTGGTCACCGTCTTTGTCAGTGTCTTAAGAATTATTGCATGGCTTAATCACAAATACAGCTAACAATCCACATAAACAAAACTGGCGGTCCATGAAAATCACCGTTAGATTTTCTCCTGGTAAGGTACATCCCTTGAGGTTCAAAGCCATCACCTGTTGATCCTGTTAAAGAAGCATTTAATCCACATGTAAGTGCTTGAATTCTCTCTGTAACTGTAGTCATGCAGTTCAATTTTTCTAAAATTTGTCAATACTAAATTATGAAGGAAGTGTGGATTAACTGGATTGCATGCCTATTGTTCATACTTCATTGACTGTCATACACAAAACAAGATGATTTTACCTAGTTGAAACATTGTGGAACTACGCTAACGATACATAAACATACTTTTTCTCAGTTGCTTTTTATCACCAAAACTGAATGGTGAATATGTCTTGAAATGATTTGGATGAACTGTGGCTAATAGAATGGAAGAATTTAGCCACTATAATTTTTCTAAATATTAAAATTTCTAAATATCTTTTTCAAGACAGAGCAACTCAGAGTTGATAAAAGAGGTTATATTGTGAATTTTTAGATGGTGCTTAAGAATTCTTATCTTGTTAAATACCAGTATTTTTTTTTCTTTTTAAGAATAAATTAAAGGGAGTAAATGAGGCAGAATGCCACTCCACCCTCAGGTCAATTTCATGGTATATTAAAATGCCAATAATATTTGTGCCACTTGCCAATTTGGGGGACTCTTCCCATACTGGATGCTTTTGTTATAGTTTGTATCATTACATTGCTTAGAAAGCCTTCACAAAAAGATGTCACCTTTGCAGTGCTAACTAGCATTTGAAAACAATCTGAATAAATCTAGGGTCAAACCACTTTCATCACTTAAAATATAGGCACTAATTTTTATTTTTATTTTTTTTTAGTATTTCTTCTGTGGCTTAGAAATGTGCCAATGTGTTCAAAACATTCTGCACCAGTTTCACCAGATTTAATACCTAGCAAAAACTCAAACTCGTCATTTTTTTCTATGTAATAGTGATTTTTAAATCAAGAACTATACACATTCATTTGTTATTTTAGTCTTTGGTTATAGTGATTAAGAATGGTAAGCTGTGATCATTATCAGACTGACTGAATGATTCCTAATTTCCAGTAAGTGATCTAATTCTACATATTACACAGGTACAGTATCTGTGAGTGTAAATAACTGGAACTGTACACTGATTACCATGACAGTTTCTCTTTTTTTGTTGTTGTTCTTGATCTGTACTGTATTATAGTATGTGGGTATAAAAACCTACAAGTATACACAGGTATGTATATGTATTCCACTATTGTAACCTGAAAGACAGACTATGTATTATCTTTTTTATTCCTTACTGGTGTTTGTGTTATTTAAAAAGCAAAATTATGCTCTATTTAGTTGTATAATATAGGATACTTTGCTGTGCACAATTCCAAGTGCCTTAGAACATCGTTTAGCTTTCTTAAGTATATATAAATGCATATATGTATAAAATTGGAAAAAGTTACCTCAATAAAATCATTGGGAAATCCCCAACTTTAGTTTCTTCCAATTCTATTGTATTGAGACAGTGCTTGGTATTTTTAAAGTAAAAGCTCACGACTCCTCCCCTGTAAAGCAAGAATAAGACAGATCTTCTAATTGTCTATTATTTCAACTGCACCTAATTTAAAATTTTTTGTATGGAAGGCCTTGTGATTTGTAATTTTTATTTAAAATATCTAAGAATTACTGCTTTAAACAGCAACTTACAGTATATTTTTAAAACTTGTTTTTTTTTATATCTGAGGATATTTGATGTTGATGTTTCTACTGACATTATACTATGTAAAAATAAAAGCTAGTACCTTTAGAGTTTATAATACAGAAAATAAACAAACTTCCTCGTTATGCTTATTATTTAATGTATTATAAGCAAAGAGAGAGGTGGGAGCATATTTTGGCCAGTAAAGGAACTGGAATATACTTCTCATTTTTTCAACAGCAATTACAAATTGTAACTTAGCCTCCCTCAACTCTGGGACAAAAGCAAAGGTAGAAGAGGAAGGTGTGAAAAGCAATTTGTGTACCATTATCCAAGATAGAAGACATATAGGAGAGAAGATTGGGACCAAGAATTTTAAAAGTAGGTTTGAAATATTGGCCCCAAGTATGCTATTAAAAATTAGCTGTACATCCCCAAGGTAAGTGTAATAGTTCAACTAATTTCCATTTTTGCTCACACTAAACTAGGTTTTGCATTGAAACACTAATTTCTAAAACCCAGTGGAGGTAAGAAATGGACAAATTTTTTTCCATTTTACATAACACTTTGATGGCATTCATTTACATAAGACTATTGTGATTGAACTCATTGCTGGACCTCAACTGACATCTGTTTGGAGTGTTTATGCTGCTGTCTACATGCAGGCCAAGTCCTTGCTCAGTTTATGAGTTCTGAACTCTTTGCCCTTTACTCTCCCTCTGCCCCTCTCCCAGCTCATTCTCTCTCTCGCTCTCTCAAATGAATAAATAAAAATCTTTAAATAAAAAATAATAATAAAGGGGCGTCTGGGTGGCTCAGTTGGTTAAGTGTCTGCCTTTGGCTCGGGTCAGGATCCCAGGGTCCTGGGATCAAGCCCCACATCAGGCTCCTTGCTCAGTGGGGAGTCTGCTTCTCTCTCTCTCTCTCTCTGCCCCTCTCCCAGCTTGTTCTCTCTCTCTCTCACTCAGATGAATGAATAAAAATCTTTAAATGAACTCTTTGCCCTTTAACAGGTGGTCACTAAGTAGTAGAACACAGAAAACTCTAGAGAAAGCTGAGAACCTAAATTTGTGTGAAGGTTTTTTGCTCTTTTGCCAAAAACAGGTACCATTTTTAGATTTTCAGGGAGAAAAGCTATAGATACTAACTTTGTAGTTAGATAAATATCCTAAGGTGGAGAGAACTAGCATTTCACTCAACATTGGGGAGAATTTGTCCCTAATTATCATGTAGGCATACTCAGCAGTTTGACCTTAAGTTATAAGTCATCTTTTCCACGGTCAATTTAAGTTTGTTACCTCTTTATGTTCAGCCCCTGATTACCTCTGAAATCTTGGTCATTGCCTCTCTGAGTCTTCCTCAACCAACCATTCTTAAGCCTGCTACCACATTATTCTTCCTAAAGGATAATCCTCATATTATTCCTTCTCAGAACTTTCCAGTGAGTTCCCTCTGCCTACCGAATACCTCCCAGGTGCTTCAGTCTAGCCCTCAAGATCTGCAGCTTCACCACAGACCACAGTTCCAGATAACTCTTCTTTTATTCCTCACTTGGGCCAAATCAAATGAAACACATTGTTCTCCATATACATTATGCACTCTCCCAACATCACAGCTTGGTTTGTGCCATTTCCTCCAGCTAGAATTTGCCTGTGTTTATTAACATCCTTCTAGGAAGGGTTCAGATGTCTTCTCCAGCTATTGTATTATAGTTTCTTTAAAGTGTTCAACACCATATATAAATTCAACAGATTTGATTCCTTTTATAAGCACTTCGAAGGCCCAAATGTCACTATAACAAGCATTTTTTTTAAAGATTTTATTTATTTGACAGATAAAGACAGCGAGAGAAGGAAAAGAAGCAGGGGGAGCAGGAGAGGAAGAAGCAGGCTCCCCGCGGAGCAGGGAGCCCGATGCGGGGCTCGATCCTAGGACCCTGGGATCATGACCTGAGCTGAAGGCAGATGCTTAACGACTGAGCCACCCAGGCGCCCCTATAACAAGCATTTTAACAACACTTTTAAGTTGAATACCTTATACATGGAGTCAAATTTTCTTAAACATTTCAGTATTATTTACAAATTAAAAATATTCTTATGCTTTTCAGCTTTGCAAGTCTAAAATTAGTTATATAGTTTAAATTAGAATTGTGTGGCTAATTGGTGAGATTCTACAATATTCCAGTTTTAAAAAATTACAAATATTTTAATACCAAGTACATACAGATTTTCCCAATACTTACAAATCATACGTGTAACACAAAAATATTTTTGCCTTTCATCTAATTTCCAAGTTTAATTCTAAGCCTTTCCAGGCTTGTAGAAATAAGACCACTGTCTTTTCTTAGACACTGAGAAAAGCACATTTTAAAACCAAAGACAAGCTGAAATTACTGGATTGATGATTCACCATTTGCTTAATGGTCAAAGTTCTATGACTGAGAAAACCATCCTATGGGCTTCTTACTTCTGAAAAGAATCTACTTGAACCACAGAGACATATTAGAACCATTTTTCAGTCCCCATAACTTCTGGGGTCTCCAAATCCACAATCTTCAGATAGGATTGGCTTATTAAAACAGATTCGAGCTACATCCTAAACAGTTCTTTTGTCTAATAGGTAGAAGGAAGTCCTGAGTTGTAGTTAGCTCCCTTCAACAATCTTCTACTGGCTTGTTGAAATTCTGCAATTTTTTTTCATATTCTTTCTCTCTGACTAGACACAACTCATTTAAATAATAACCAACTAGATTCTGTCTTCATCCCACACATATGTCCGGTCTTGTTTGTCCCTAACACCAGAGCTCTGTAGTCATGCTCAGGATGGTCTAATTAAATCTAAAAGCTGAGCTGACGGAAGAAGAGAAAGGGATAGAAGACTAACCAAGTTTAACAATGGCTAAATATTGAAGGTCCTTGTAAACTTTCTACGGGAGTTCGGAATTTATCCTTGAGAAGAAGTATTTTAAGTGCAGGGGAAACATCCTCAGATTTGCCCTAATTACAATGGTCACAATGTCAAGACTGGATTGGAGGAGGCTATATTGGAAGCGTGAAAACCATCGCTATTGCCATAATCTGACTGGTAGATGATGGTGACCTCAACCAAGGTGTTGAACTATGGGAGTGAAGAAGCATAACAAATTCAAGGCACAACTGAAGGGCAAAAGTGATTGTTGCAAATGGGAAATGAGGGATATGGAAAAGTAAAGACTATACCTGTGTTTTTCGCTTGGGCAACTTGGTGGATGGTGGTGACGCCACATGCTGAAATAGAAAGTAAGGAAGGTGAGGTTGTAAGACTTGGGGGTGGGGGAGGCAGGGAGCCCGGGAAGGAGAGGGTAGGAGGTACGGAGAGATGAGGCATTTAATTTTGCACATGAAATTCAATTCGAATTGCCTGCCTGTTGAGACATCCACATGTGGACAGATGTATTCAGTTGAGTCTAAAGGTCAGGTACAAGGTCTGTCCTACACAGAGGAAGTAGAGAATCATTAGCACGTGTAACAAGCTGTGGAAATGAGTAAACCTCCCAACAGATAATGTAGCTTACGGCTAAATAAATTACTACAATGAAAATTTAACAAAATATTTTTTCTTCACCTGAAGAAAGGAGACAAATCTCTAAGAACACAAAATCATTTCATTTGCACACCATCTGAGTGCTTTGGAAGGTATATATATTTTTTTAATTTAACTGGGTTTTACTGGTTAGCTTAATTTTAAGTAAAATGTAGTGCTTTATGTAGAGGGTTAAGTTGTAAAGCAAAAATTATATTTGAAAATATATTGCCTCGAATACAAAGAACATTGAGATCTACTATTTCAATAAGTCCACATAGCCCATTTTTACTTCAACAGTGAAATATGTGGCTGGTTCTTTAATAAGCCACAGATGAGGAAGTTAGTTTACATCTAAGTGCTATGTGATATTAAAAAAAAAAAAAGAAAAAACAAAAAAACCTTACCTTTAAGCATAAGAATTATACTCAGCACAATGAGATGCTCATACCATAAGCATAGGGAACATAGTAATGGAGGAAATAGAGGTCAATGTCTCACCCACATTCCCAGTATGAGCTCATTGACAGAATGGCAGGGAGAATCACTCAATAGTTAACAGTGGTAATTTGGGGTGCTTGGGTGACTCAGTTAAGCATCAGACTCTTGATTTCAGCTCAGGTCATGATCTCAGGGTCGTGAGATCGAGGCCTGCAGCAGGCTCTGCACTCAGCTTGGGGGAATTTCTGCTTGAGATTCTCCTTCCTCTCACTCTGCCCCTTTCCACCCGCTGCAGTGGGCTCTGTGCCCTTCAGCTGTCCCTTCAAACCACATTTCTAATTTGGCAGGATCTGCTTGAGAGTCTCCCTCTGCCCGTTTCCACCCTGTGTGCTTGCACTCTCTCTTTCTCTCCCTCAAGTAAATAAATAAATAAATAAATAAATAAATAAATAAATAAATAATCTTTAAAAAAAAATAGCAGTGGTGGTAATCTTATTTCTCTCTCATTTGCTGAAAGCATAGAGTTAAATTTGTAAGTTAAAGGCATGCATGATCTAATTACCAAAGTTGTCACCGGTTTCAGTAGTGGATTGTCACTCAAAAGAAAGGAGACTAATAATGATTTGTGAGCTTTTAATAGCTCAAGGCTAGAATGAGCATAACTGACACATACCAAAGAAAACTCAAAATTCATGTTATAACTAGAAAGGCACAATAAAAAAACAATAATTTGGATTAATATTTCCAAAGTGTACTCACCAATGAAATGTAAGTACTTTTGACTCAAAGAACCCGAGTCAGTAAACAAAAAGCCAAGCAATATGAAGAGTTTGTGCTATTAAAAAGAATTTTAAAGAACATAAGATTACCGGGGTCTAGAAGCTAGTAAAATCATCTAAGTCTGTAATATGAAAAACCCAAAAGGTACCAGAATTTGAGGGAAAGCAAAAGGATTAAGATAGAGGAACCTGACAAGTTGGGTCTAAATGCAAGCTAACAGATTCCATGATGTGAATCTGACTTGAAGCAAAACGTGTTCCCTGACAAATCCCAGAGGCTACGGGCCCTGGTTTCAGGAGATGGTCACCCTGAGGCAACAATGAAGTTAGGTGAATCCTTACACTTACCTGGGAAGTGGACAATTGCTAATCTTCACTGAGCACTGAGCACAGGTCAGGCACAGGTCCCAGCATTTATAACATATTTTCTCATTTAATCCAACAATTCCTCTAAGGTAAGCATTAATAATACTATCATTCCCATTTTACATTCAGGTAAGTAAACAGAAGCCCACTTGCCTCAGGTTACACAATCAAAGTGAAACAAACTACAGTTTAATTTTGGTCAATGTACCAAGCCTCCTACTGCTGTCGTTTAATATTATAGGGGAAAATTTGTGTTTCATTGGAAAATGATGCATTTTCAAACGAGTACACCCTTCCAATTCTGGGTTTAGGAGGACTTTGCACCTTTCCTTGCCTTTGAGCTATTTTACAACTTTGTAAGTTGTAGAAAGCTGACAGGAATGTGGAATAATTCTTGTCTCCAGACACGTACATAATTTCTGTCCAGTGGAGGTTCAGTTGCCTTCCTTAGGTCACTGGGAAAGAAGCCAGTTTTGTCTCCATTTGCACATTCTTCTCAATATTCCTTCTCTGTAAATGTTTCTCTTCTGTGGATTGTCCTCTGAACTGATTGTAACATCCTATGTTTCCCTCCTTAACAATGTGCTAAATAAAATCTTTACTCATTTTATGCTTATGTATGAGAGTCATGGGTTTACCATAAAAAAATTATCCTTGAACAATATTTTAGTATCTAACCTGTCCTATCTTTTTGTTTTTTGTTGTTTTTAAGATTTTATTTTAAAATAATCTCTACACCCAACATGGGGGCTCAAACTCATAGCCCAGAGATCAAGAGTCACATGCTCTATGGACTAAGCCAGCCAAGCACCCCTACTTTGGTTTTTAAGTATCTTCACTTTTTTTAGACACCAAATGTAACACTTCAAATCCTCACTATAAATATATAAACAATAAGATATATAAAACAATGCAAGTAATTGTAAACAATGAAAAAATATATACAGGAGACATCTAAAGTTCCTATAATCCCAGCTCCTCATGGAAAATTGCTATGGGCAAGTTTGGTGCATAGTTGAGTATTTTTCAGTGCTTGCACTATGATATTTCTGTGTAAAATGTTTTTCTATATATAATTATTAACAACGACAACAACAAATGCCATTTTCGTGATGTTCTACAACCTGCTTTTTTTCTGACTGAATGTCGATCTGCATCTCCGTAGAACAGCTTCACAATAGACCATGGTATTAATTTTTTTCAATTAATCCCTTACTAGTGGAATTTTAATTGCTTTCTTATTCTCTATTAAAAACAGTGCTACAGTGAACATCCTGCTCCATCCATCTTGATGCTTTCTCTTTTTATAAATTAACTACCTCCATAAGCTCTATTAATATTGTCAAGCATGTAATTTATAATTCCTCAAGTTACTGCTTCATTGTCTAGTTAGTTTGGCTATATTCAAGCAAGTTTTCTCCAATTCTGTGTACATTGGTTTCCTGGTGCTGGGGGTCCTTGGGCAATGCTGATGGAGAACCACTGCTAAATGTGATATAAATAGTGCTAAGATGGTAAACATGGTTTCAATAGGCAAGTTCATTTCACATGGAAAACACAAAATTTTTCAAAGCCTAGACTAAACCAGGAATTAAAGTAATTAAAATGAGTTTATTAAAATTCTTCTTCATCATTGTGAAATGAATGCCATTTATTAGAGCATGCTAATAAAATTCTAGGAGAAGTATGGCTTGGATTTATTATCATTACTATAATATTTCAGTTATGGGTGTTTTTATCATAGGAAATGTTTTTCTGTGTTAAGACAAGCCAGGGTTTTGTATATATATACCATTTTAACAAATGCATTGTTCTAGATACTGTATTCAACAAATATTAAATGAGCTCATATTTATATACTCAGCATCCAGAACAGGCTTGAACACGTTAGCTACCATATGTGTTGGCTTTTTGAGATGGCGTGTATTGTAATGGTTAAGGGTGTGACTCTCAAGCTACACCTGAGTTCACATTTTGGCTGCATCACTTAATGGCTTTGTGCTCTTGGGCAAAAGTCCACTTAATTTTCTGTTTCTCAATCTCTAATCTATATATAACAAAAGGATAATGATAGTAAATCTCTTAAATCCTTCTTTAAGAATTTAAAGAGTAAATATATGTAAAGTGCTTTGAACAATGCAATTCTTATTGAGTCCTTGCTATGCTATGCCCTGGGGAAGTAAATTAGGCAAGACAAAAACCCTTGTCCTCAAGTTGGTTACTACAGTTTGAGTCTAAAGACAGATGAAAATAGTTGTTTGGATTTACAGTTTGATGTAACTGAGTAGACTAATCACAGGGTACAGCGAGAACATGTGGGGTGGGCCCTAGTTCTGAAGAGTGTAAGTTTCCTAGAGGCAGAAATGACTAACAGTTGAAGAACAGGGAGGCGAGAGGAAGAGATTTTTAGATGGGCATAGCAAAGTCAATCTCTTTTAGGTACATTGGGGAACTGCAAGCTGTTTGGTAGAGCTGAGTCATAGAGTAGTGTGTGGGGGATAAGGAGACGTGATGCTAAATTGATGGGTAGAGGCTAGATGAGAGAAACGGTTGGCTGCCAAGCAAATGAGTTTAGACTTTATCCTGAGGCCAGAGGGTAAGACATCCAAAAGGTTTTATATATGCAAATGACATGATTGGATAAGAGTACTAAAAATAATAAATTTGATAAAAGGGGTAATGGGGTGATACCTTTGGATATTTAAAAGGTAGAATGGACAGAATTTGCTAGTAAAAT